TGTTTATATCATAGGCTGGGCCATCTTATGGTAAGAAGATGATGACAGGACACCTTGCATCCCAGGGGATACATGCAGCAGAGTCTCAAGGGTTGGTGGCCCATATCACCATGCCCGTCAGAAGGTTAGTGATCTTTCCATTTTGAAGTTGTCATATTCTACCTTCTGTTTCATTCTACTCATAGTAAGGACTATTATTTGAATGCAGTATAGCTGATATATTTTTGTTATTTGACATAATAGTGTACATTAAAATTTACACAACAATTAATGTTGAACGTGAGAATTACTTTTCTGTTAAAGTACTGCCTGTTCTGCAGTTTTTGGGGCCAAAGTTCAGAGGCAAAGAAAAACTGAATGTTCATTTCCTGTTATGCAATTTTTTTTAAAGTTCATTCTGTTTGTTAACATCCAGCTCATCAGTACTGGAGTATGGCATGTGGGAGCAGGTGCGTGTTGACCATGGGACTGAATTCTACTCGTCCTTGTATGTACAAGAGAAGAATGCAGACTTGCGCTGTAACCAACACCGACAACCATATATTCAAACCCAGTCAAAAAGGGTATAAAACCTCATGCATTTTGTTTGATGCTTTCTGCTTGAAGGGTAACGTTTTTCTAAGAGCAGTGTTTACCATCCTGTCAAAAAGTTTACGGTTTACTTTGTTTGCTCTTATAACATGTATGTAGCCACAGAATGGTATCTCATATTATGTCACTTTGCAATGATTTTGTTGGTGAATTATCTATGATTTAACACATGACAGCCATGTTAATGAACAATTATTGTTACTGATCTGTTTTAGAATCACAAGTTTGAGAGGATGGGGCCGGAGGATGTTTGAGATTGGAAAAAATATTTTGTTTGTTCTAATGTTATATATCTCTTCGTGTATTTAAGGAGAAGTATTTAGGGGACCTTTTAACGGTGTAAATAATGGTAAATTGCGACTTCGTCTACTGTTTACCTGGTCTAATTGGCAGTAGATCAAAAGAGTATATGCCCCCTGTCATCTGTCAGACGATGTGACAACGGATATTTGCTTATTTCAGTGTATAAATTTATAATGCACGTTTTTTTATTTCTAGTTTATAGAAAATTGAAATTTTGTTATAATAGAGCGAGCACTTGTAACAGGTGACTGTTGTATATGAAATAAACAATGCATTGTGGATGAAAGACGAATAGAAGTCTTGCTTAACTTTATATAAGTGAATTTTAATGCAAAATATAAAATATACTATCATTTTTTAACAAAGATATTTTCAATATAAATTATCACGGACGATACTATCCCGCATAGATATCTGTGCCAGCAGGCACGTTATCGTCTTGTTTGTGTGTGTGTGTGTGTGTGTGTGTGTGTGTGTGTGTGTGTGTGTGTGTGTCGATGATGTGTAGTGTAAGTGGTGTGTAGTTGTAGTTGTTCTGTGGTGTGTCGTCGTGCGTGCGTGGTGGCGTTGCGTGCGTTCCTTCGATTCGTGTGTGGTTCGGGGTGTGTTCATTACACGTTTAACAATACAAACATTCGTCGCTAGGTGTCACCACAGCGTTCCATTAATAACCCATACGCACGCACGGCACGCACGCATGCATGCACCCCGCAAACACACACACATACACACACAGTTACGCGTCGAGCGCACTCCCGTGTTATAGTTCATGCCCTATTCACGCCAACTCTCTCGCATCAGAAGAACACACGGGCATGCACGTGCAACACACGGCAGCTAATGATGTTGCGATTTAGCCAATCCTCATGGCGATGTCACCCGCACGCACGACATGCCCGTGGGAGAGGAGAGGTCCGATATATACGCAAACAACTTGCACACATGGTTATCTAGATGAAAAACCGCACTATAAACACAACGCCACACCACACAAACACACACAGCACACGAGGTACACCTCACAGGAGATCGCCCTATGCTCTCTGCCTAGTTCTTCATGTCAGATGTTGTTGTCCCAGAGTCTATGTCGGAGCGCGGCGCGCGCGGCGCGTGCGAGCGCACAACAACACACGACTACAGTTTAACCGCGCGCACAGTGCTTCCTGTAGGATTGCATTTAACGTGCTGCATGCACGCAGGCACACACTAACACAACAGACACAGTTACGAGCTGCATCTTATAACGACGCATAGAGTATGCTTACTGTACGAACGACGCTACAAACAACGCACTGCTCGTCGAATAGTGTCCCACAGCACGCACAGCACAACAACCGCTCGCCAAGGCGCACGGCATAGCACGAACGCTGGATGCGAGATGTCTTTCGCAACGTTTCATGTTAGGGCGTGGGCGTAGAAGTGCAGCACGCGCACGCGAGCACACACACACACACACACACACAACAACACACACGACAACACAGCGGTGGCCCATCCAAAGCGTGCCAGGAGATACATTTGTCTCTTTAACACACACACATCAACAGTCACACGCGTTACTTCCTTCTCTGACTCCGGATAAGTGAAACAACACTGCGGGGATTTCGTACTGGTCTGCTAGACGCCGGGTGCTGCGCCTCCTCGCGTCTGCCCCGCGCTACCTCGTCACACGTATACGTAACCGCATGCACGTACGCACGCACGTACGCACACATGCACGTGCAAACACACACGCACGCACACACACACGCGCGCGCACGCACGCATGCACGTATGAATGCACGCACGCACGCACACACACTCAGTTACGCACGCACACACGCATTTACGTGTGCATGCACGCACGCACGCATGCCCGTACGCACGCATGCAAGTNGACCTGACGAGATCAGCTGGTGCCAGTCTAACGAATAAGACAGAGAAGCATGTACTGGCAGCAATGAAAAAACTTGCAGTGCGAGAGGAGAACACGATGGTTGCTCGTTTCACACTGCACAACATGACTCAAGATCATGACGAGCCAGTATGCGCATTCGGCGCTCGTATCACTGGACAAGCGAGTGTCTGCAAATTTGCACTGACTTGCCAGAACTGCCAGAAGGAAGTGAGTTACACCAATGAGGTTCTCCAGGATGTGTTAGCTAGGGGTCTGGCTGACAGTGAGATTCAACTCGATCTGCTCGGAGATCCGAACCAGGACATGACTCTCGAGGAGGTGTTCAAGGTCGTGGAGGCCAAAGAGGCAGGCAAGCGATCGGCCAACAGACTTTTGCAGTCACAGGGTGCAGCTGCTGCACGCAGCCTGTATCAGAAAGGCAAAAGATCATCAACCATGGTTAGAGAAGGGACCAAGCAACATGACACTGATACAGACAGTCAGGAAGTGTGCTCGTACTGTGGTAGGAGAGGTCACGGTAGGAGAGACCCACCTCATGTGAGAAAAAATACCTGTCCTGCTTACGGTAAGACTTGCAGGAAGTGCAACAGGCTGCATCACTTGGAGGAGATGTGCCGCAGCACGACCAACGGTGGGCCTGAGGTGTCAATGGCAGATGAGCAGGGTGCAGTTTTCAGCTCGCTCTGCACCATCTCTGATGCCACGTCACCCAGTGCTGTGCAGACGCCAAACAACGATCCGCTCTGTAGCTTCACCACCTTTGATGAGCATGCTGGTATACGTACCCTGATGCTAGATCACCATCTGTATGACCAGCTATCGGACTGCTGGAGACAATGAGCGTCAAGACCTCAACCGTTCATACAGCTGTCAGTATCTTGTAAACAGGCAGACTATGACGCTTTCGGACTTCCTATTCGGATTCGCTTTCAGCATGACGGACAAAATGCAACCATTCCGTGAACTCCTCAAGCCCTCCACGCCCTTTCACTGGGACAAAGAACTGAATGATTTGTTCGAGGAGTCTAAAGCTGTCATTGTAAGCGAGATTCACGAGGGTGTGAGGATCTTTGACAAGGAGAAGCCCACCTGCTTGGCAACAGACTGGTCGAAGGCAGGCATAGGATTCTGGCTATTTCAAAAGCACTGTGATTGTACAGGAGACGAGCCTTTTCTGCTGCAGGGACGGCTGGAAAACGACCCTCATCGGCAGCCGGTTCACACATCCTGCCGAGTCTAGGTACGCGCCAGTCGAGGGCGAAGCTCTGGCAGTGGCTGATGCACTGGACAAGGCACGCTTTTTTGTGCTAGGCTGCAGCAAGCTGATAATTGCAGTTGACCATAAGCCACTCCTCAAGATCTTTGGTGATCGCTCACTTGAGGACATCCCCAATGCAAGGCTTAGGAACCTGAACAAGACATTGAGATACAAGTTCCACATACCCAGTGTAAAAAACAGAGCGGCGGACTCGGTGTCAAGGTACCCCAGTGGCCCTCAGATGACTAATAAGTTGCAACTGAGCGATGACATTGCAGCTGTCGACATGGCCGCACTGTCTGCGCCACCCCTACTCCAGCCCCTATTCTTGGCTAACATCCGTGTGCTAGAAGCCGACAACCCGGATGACCTTGATGACAGTCTACGAGTCAGCTGTGGCGGCACTGCACTGCATAGCTGTGACATGGGGGAAGGTGCAAGAGACGACAGCGAGTGATGTAGCCATGAATGAGCTTGTGGGGTTGGTTGAGCGGGGCCTGCCTGAGTTCCGCCATGACTGCCGAAAAAGCCGCAGGAGTTTCATCAGTTTCGGGATGACCTCTATACAATAGACGGTGTAGTTCTTTCTCTAAAAGGAGAGGGTCGTCATTTCCCCAAGCTTACGCCATGATGTCCTCCAAGCACTGCACACTCCTCATCAAGGTGTGACGTCGATGTTGGCCCGAGGAGTCTTCGCTCTTCTGGCCCGGCATCACCCCTGCAATCAAGGATATTAGGGCTAGGTGCAGTGACTGCAACAGGATTGCACCATCACAGCCCAGCGCACCACCGACACCAACGACACCACCAGCTTACCCCTTCCAGTGTGTCTGCGCTGACTATTTCCATTACAAGGGTTTAAACTACCTGGTTGTGGTCGATCGTTATTCCAATTGGCCAGTAGTGGAACAGGCATCGGATGGGTGCCAAGGCCTGATAACTTGCCTCCGGCGTATCTTTGTGACATTCGGTATCCCAGATGAGCTAGCGAGTGACGGTGGACCGGAGTTACTGCAGCCGCCACCAAGACATTCCTGCAGAATTGGGGATGGATAGCGTATGATCACTAGCAACACCGGTCCACGTGGTGAGCTGGACACCGACGCGCTGCAGCGCGCAGTGTTGCAATACAGAAATACGCCTGACCCAGAGGCTAAGATCTCGCCCGCCATGTGTATCTTTGGTCGACCTATAAAAGACTTCATCCCTATACTGCCAGGTCGATACAGGCCTCATCCCACATGGCGTGAAACCATGACGGCGAGGGAGGAAGCACTCAGGAACAGGCACATGAAGGCTGCTGAAAGGTGGACAGAGCACACCAAGCGACTGCCACCGCTGGCAGTTGGCAACCACATACGCCTCCAGAACCAAACTGGCCCCCACCCCACACGATGGGACAAAACTGGGGTCATCATTGAGGTTAGACAATTTGACCAGTATGTTGTACGCATTGATGGTTCGGGTCGAGTTACATTGCGGAACAGAAAATTTCTGCGGCGTTACGAACCTGTGGTGCCACAGAGACCCAAGCCTCGGACACTGGAGGAGGACCTTCGCTACTCACCCACCGTCACGCCAATCGGGGCACATGAACACATGCCCCAAACATTACGGTCTTCAATGCCCAGGACAGCGGAGCCAGCTGCCACGCTGCCGCCATTGGCTATCACCGCCCCACCGGCGGTTACCCCAGCACCACTCCCATCTGCTGAACCACCGTCAGTGCCATCGCCTGCACCCAGTACCAGCGGGATGCCCCGTGTCACAACTGCTGCCCAACCTACTACTCCTGCTGCACCCCCTAGCAGGCCGAATGTGGCCAGAGTCGCGACCCTGTGCAGGGGAGTGGGTGCCCCCGGAACTCCGCCTCCCGACAGAACACGTAGAGCTCGACAACCTCCTGCGTGGCAGAAGGACTATGTTATGTGCTGACTCTTATAACGTGAAATCAGGAACTGATTCAGAAAGATTTTATTTTTTTTCAGTCTTTGTTAGTAACCCAAAGACTTGGGGGAGATAGAGCAGGCTTATTTAATTGCTCGTTAGATGGCACGCAGGTCAATACAAGTGGCCTCACTCTCTTTGTGAACTTGTCAGCATTGTCCCGCGTCCAATGCGTCAGAGACAAATGGTTATTCCTATCTAGAGACAGCACGAAGACTTGCTCCGTATTTTATTTGCCATGCGGGCCCGATATAGGCTGAATTTTCATTGGCTAAAACTTGGTGCGTGCACCAGGCCCCGATCATGTGGGCCTGTAAAATCCCTTACCTACAGGCCCGACTGGCCTGTAAATTATTCTGGCTCGTAAGATTATTTGCAATAAGGCTCCAGTCCCTTGGTTGTCATCTTGGTAGGATATACATTCCTGCAGAATCGGCACGAACCGCGAAACTTCTGAGTTTGAAGTCACATTACAAAGAAAGGTTGCACTTCTCGGCCACAGTAGTTACATAGTTGTGTTCAGTGGACTATAGAGGGCAGAACGAGCCAAAAATGGAGGTCGTAGAGGCGTGAAAAGTTTGAGAAATCTGAAAGAAGTGAGGAGCGATCGGCAAAAATCGTGCGGCGGAGTTTCCTACCTTCTTATATATATATAATTATAATGGCGACACAGCACACTCCCAGCGGCGAGTGCGGGAGCGGCTAGTTCAGCATGTTTTTGTGAAAGCAAGTTGATAATGCTGATAGGGTCTATATGTACCCCAGGGTACTATCGGAGGGTAACCTGGGTACGGTTTGATATATCGGAAAGTACCTCAAGGTACTATACGATATGTCGCTGCGTAGGGGAGACCGAGGCTAGTTGGGACACATGGTCTAGTTCTCGGAAGCGTTGACAGGTGGTGCTGATATTTGGTTCAGAGAAAGCACGTGACCGCGCCCATTTGCTGATGTAATCTCAAGGAGATCGGAGCAAAGTTGAAAGAGCTGAGTGAGTAATTACTATTTTGTGTTGATTTTTTCGACTTTTTCACAAAAAAATATTTATTGACTGTACAGTTCATTATCGGTAATTGGATTGTGACGTATACAGGGTAAAACTAACCCATAGTCGTCTATATTTTGCCGTATTTTGATTGAAGATTGATTGCAAGTTCGCCGTGAGGCTGTGCTTTTAAAATGGCGGCACGTTGTGGGGCAAGTTGGGACTTGAACTAGCTCTAGTACTATTGTAACGACCAAAAATCAGTAAATGTCTAAATCTGTAACCATGGCGCATATCTGTATCTATGACGAGTGGCGATGCCACGACAGTAATTAAATGACAGTAATTAAATTNGCCGGCCGGCCCCGAAAAAAGGTTTTTCCGGGGTATTTTTGGGACCAATTTATGTTTGGGGCACGTTTAACAGGACCGGGGCTAATCAAGGAAAGTCAATTATATTTATACCTAATGCTATTTTACGCGAAAGATATTCATTTTAGGGCAAATTTCTCCATATTAAAAGTGAAACTAATATGCGTTTATAAGATATTCCGAAGTCTTTTGCTTTAAATTAATCAATAAGAAACACCCTCGTCTGTAAGCCCTTGGCTGGGAAAGTGGTTTTGCGCAAACGTTATCAGATCTGCCGGCTTTGATGGCGCCAACCTGTCGTTGTAATCAAACTGTAGTCCTGTTTAGTTTTAACATTTTTTTTAAATATTTCCTAATGGTTGGTGATTAAACCATGAAACTTTTTATGTAGCGTAATTGTAACCTAAGTTAGCTGAAAATAACCCTAGAACCTAGAGTAAACTCTCCCTTTAACAAAAAGCATTTCACACTATTTGAAACGGTGGTGTTGAAGTATAGGACGATTGTTGTTGAAAGAAATTTCAATGATTGTTTACTTACTGACGAACTATAAATGTGTATCTTTCCTTAATTTATTTAGGGACGAAGTTGTGGATTTGCTGCCGGAGTCTTCAACATGTTCTAGCACGCTGTACCTGCCCAAGTACTCTAGGTACTTTCATGACATGTAGTAAAATACAATAATACAGTATGAACTATACCTCATACTAATTCATTTCTTACACTGTTTGTATTGGAGATAAAACTGGAAGGTTGGAAGGGGGTGAATGACATAGTATAGCCAGGACTGACATTTCCATAAACATCTATGTTATCAGGAGTGAATAATAATAGTATAATATAATAATCTATCTAGAATAATAATCTATTATTATTCACTCCTGATGTTATGTCACTTCTACTGTAACCCTGCCCACATTAAGTAAAAGTTCGACACAATAGTTTAGCAGTTTAATTCAGTAAAAGATTTTCGTTAAGTGGACATGATCAACGCGTTTAACTGCGTGGCTATAGCAGGCTACAGCTTTTACCTGGCTTTGGTCGTACGTGTAATGTCACTATAGCATGTTATTTACTTGGCAGTGCGAAGGTTGCTGAAGAGAAACTCCGGTATGCTGCTTACAACTGCATCGCAATTGACACAGACATGAGCACCTGGGATGACTAGACGCCTCGCCTCGCCGTGTCTTATCGCGTCTTGTCTTACATCTCGCCTACATCGTCGTGCATTATAAACTGTTTTATATCTGGCTCAGTGTAGTTACACATGTAACAGGTTGATCGCTTTTTAAGTACCTTGTTGTCTTAACTGTCTGTCAGAAGCTTTGTTGCAATATGTTTACAATTTTTAATATCGGTTTGCCATGTATATCACAGTTTTTTTCCGCGATTTCAATTGAAAACATTCATTCATGTAAATTGAGTGTAATGATTAATTAGATTGGTTCACAAAAAAAGGTGAGAGCAATATTCAAGCAAAGGGGACCCCAACAATTAATGAACATGTTCACTTAGATACAATAATGTAACCCAACAAGAGTAGGGGTTACAGGGTTCTCCCTACGTTGCGCAAACGGGGCGCGCGAAAACTCCCCCGTTTGAATCGTTGCGCCCCCTTTGGGAAAACTCCCCCCTGTTTGAATCGTTGCGCCCCGTTTGGGAAAACTCCCCCCTGTTTGAATCGTTGCGCCCCGTTTAAATTCCACCACAATAAAAGTTTGCCAGCGCGGGAATCGATCGGCAAGAATTGCCGTTCGACCAGGACATCCGACGCGTGTATTTTTACCGTACCACGCATGCACTGAAGACAGTACACAAGTTAACCTGACACTAACTGTACACCGACTCGGCTATCTTATATATACAAGAACCCCAAATACCGTCTATGGTGTGGTAGCGATTTTACGCATTAATTAGTCGTACGGTAAAAATACACGCCCCCCGGACCCCCCTCCCCCTAGTTTTCCCTCTCCCCCTCCCCCCTACCCCTCCCGTCCCCCCTGTTTGAATTTCATCCTGGGGAGAACCCTGGGTTATGTATACAGTAATGTAACACCCCCCCCCCACTCTTGTTGGGTTACATTATTGAATCTAATGTTCACTGTGACAATATATGAAATCAATGTCAGCGTGCTTTTAATTAATATTTTGTGTTGTGTATGATATAAGGATATATGCATTGTTATGTCAGCTATAGAAGTAAAGCTCAAGCTTTCTAAACTACAGTTTATCACAATCCTTTTAGTGAAATTATGCAGTTGTTTTCTCGATATAATCATTATACATAGATTTGACAAGTATAATCTG